GGTGGGTAGCTTGAAATTAGGCATGCTGGGAATATTTGTACCAGGTGCTCACCACAATTGAAGTCTTTCCTGCATCCTCCTGAGAGTGATCAGCATTCACCAGCACCCCACTTGTGTGTGTGTGTCTCAGTGTATGTGCGTGTGAAGCAGGGATATTCAGGCATCAGTGGGCATATGTATGGGAGGCTCTATGTGAATTGGGAGCGAGGCATCTGGGGCTGCGGGCCTTGCATAGACCATGGTCATTCTGAATCATTGCATTGCTCTTAATCAGGTTGGTCTATTCTTTCGTCCAAAGAATCCCATAAATGTTGGTGATTTCTGGCCCCTCTTCCTACAGATGGATTGGGGGTGTCTGTCCTTTAGGCATGTGGACATTTCTTTATTCTTTAACATTTGTATGATCCTGGCATCTGGGGCCCTAGATGGGTGGGCCTGGTGGACAGATAGCTGTGCAGAACAGAACCTTCACAGGTGTACTTCTGGCCTGACAGGCTACAGTCAGGAGATGGGGGGGCATCCTGGAGGTCAGATGGCAAATTGTTCCCCCTGGCAAACGCCCTAAGAATCAGCTGGGCAGGTACTGGTATTACTGACTCATACCTGCTGACTGCACGGAGCAGTTGGGGCCAGCACCAGCAGCAGCTGGGAGCGGGGCCGGGGCTGTCAGCAGGTGCAAGTGGTGGCTACTGCCCTGATTGCCCCTCAGGAGCAGGGGGAGGTGGAGAAGCCCTGAGGGGCGATCGGGGCTGGCAGCTGCCACTCGCACCCGCTGATGGCTTGGAGCAATTGAGGCCGGCACCAGCAGCAGGTGCCTATATAATAAAAGCCTAAGGATAAGGTGGGTGGGCAAGGACAGCCTTTACATGGGGTCCAGGTGATGAGTTGTGTTGTGTATCAGGCTGGTCAGTGATGTCACTAGTTCTTAACCCACTTATCTCCATGGAAACCTCAATCCTTTTGGATACGGAGGACTTCAGGGGTCAGTGATATGACAGAGATGGATGCGAAGAGGCTTTGTCCCTGAGGATGGCTGGGAGCTGACACCTAGAGAGACAGGGGAGTCCCACTCTGAGGACATATATGTCTCTGACATTTCTGAACACTTTAGACAGGCTCTCCTTTGTTATCTGAAGGCTCAGGATGATTCTAGCACTGACCCTCTTTTCTCTATTCCATGTTGATCTGCAAACCACCAGAGGGAACCACATGATGAGTGTAGCCATCAGCTGACCCCACAGCTGCCTCCTGTCTCTCTTAATTCCTCCCAAGAATTTATTGGGTCTTCCTTCCTTATGGTGAGTCTCCTTCTGGTCTTTTCTCTCCCATGGTGAATCCTCCTGCCAACAGAATGTACCCCTCACTTGCTTGAATGCCCCAATAACTGCTTGTCTGAGTATAAGCAGATTCCTAGTAGCTCTCACTGCCCTCTCCATAACCTAGCCCCTATAAAATGACAGTGTGTTGTATTGATCATGTTGTGGGTTGATGCCAGAATGGAGCCAGTCCTAGTTTTATATTTTAAAATGTTACATATTTAAATAAACATGCAGCCGAAACCGGTTTGGCTCAGTGGATAGAGCGTCGGCCTGCGGACTGAATGGTCCCAGGTTCGATTCCGGTCAAGGGCGCGTACCTTGGTTGAGGGCACATCCCCAGTAGGAGATGTGCAGGAGGCAGCTGATCGATGTTTCTCTCTCATGGATGTTTCTAACTCTCTATCTCTCTCCCTTCCTCTCTGTAAAAAATCAATAAAATATATTTAAAAAAATAAATAAATAAACATGCAGTATAATGTATTCAAGGTAATGTTCTTGGGGTTGTTTGTTGAAAATTTTTTGGTTTTGGTTCTGAAATGGGAAGGCACGTCTCTTGAGTGTTATGGATGAGGAACAGGAGTACCTTGGTATCTTGAATCAGCACTAAAAATCCCCCACCAGGTGCAATTAATGCAAAATGCTAGAATGGCTGGGCTTGGACAGAGCTGGTTTTTCAGGGGCTGATATTTTTTTGGAGTGTAGTCATTTCCTTGTCTCTCCATGGACAGAAGGAATCTTCTGTTCTTTTTAAAAAAATAATTTAAGAAAATGCTTTATTACAGTTTCCATATAATTGTTATATTAGTTTCAGGTGTGCAACATGGTGATAAAACATTTATATCACTTACAAATTGATTACCTCGATAAGTCTAGTACCCATTTGACACCATTCGTAGTTCTTACAATATTATTGACTTTATATCCCTATGGCTGTTTTTGTAATTGGCAATTTGTAGATATTAATCCCTTCCACTTTTTCCCCCATCCTTCCCACCTCCCTTCAAAATGTTCTCAGCACCTGTGAATATACTTCTGTTTTGTTTGTTGGTTAATTTTGTTCTTTAGATTCCACATGTAAATGAAATCCCATGGTCCTCGTCCTTCTCCATCTGAGCTGTTTGACTTAGCATAATGCCCTCTAGTTCTATCTATGTTGTTGCAAATGGCAAGATTTCATTCTCTCTTTTGGTTGAGCAGAATTGTATTGTTTGCAGTACCACACTTTCTTTATCCACTCATTTATTGATGGATACTTCGGTTTCTTCCATGTCTTGGCTATCCTATATAAGAAAAGCCTAATATGCTAAGTGTCCAGTCGGCCAGTCATTCGTTCCACCAATCAAAGTGTAATCCTATATAATAAAATGCTAATATGCAAATAGACCCAACGTTGGAACAACAGAACAACTGGTTGCTATGATGTGTGCTGACCACCAGGTGGTGTGCATGGAACATGGTGGGTGTTGGCCGAGGCGGGATGGTGGGGCAGGTGAGCAGGGGCACCAGACCAAGGCGGGGCACCGGTTGTTGTCACTGGGGGGAGCCTCTGGTGGTTACTAAAAATTCTTTGCTCCCCTGCACCATGGTCCCGCCCGGTGCTAGCACCTGCTGCCAGTGCTGGCCCCGCTCACACCTGCTGATGGCGCCTGGCATGGCACCGATCGCTTGGCGCCATTAGCGTGTGCTAGCAGTGGCTGCTGTCCCTGATTGCCCCTCAGGGCTTCTCCACCTCCCCATGCTCCTGAGGGGCAATCAGGGCAGTAGCCACCACTTGCACTCGCTGCCGGTGCCGGCCCCGCTTGCACCTGCTGCTAGTGCCGGCCCCATTTGCTTCACTCTGTCAGTGGGTGCAAGTGGGGCTGGCACCATCAGTATGTGGGAGTGGCGGCAGCGGGATCGGGGCTGCAGGCAGACAATGGACCGAGGGCCTTGGGGGGAGGGGTTAGGTGGGGGCGTGGATATGGGCTGAGACCTGCCCCTATTCCTGCCACAGCTTCGCGGCCCACGGTTCCTTTCAAGGTGCATGAATTCGTGCATTGGCCCCCTAGTATGCTAATGATATGCTAAGGCCGCTCAACCACTCGCTATGACATGCACTGACCACCAGGGGGCAGACAGTACACCAGTCGCTATGATGTGCACTGACTACCAGGGGGCAGATGATCCGACCAGTAGGTTAGCTTGCTGCTGGGGTCCGGGACTTAGCAAGATGCACCAGACATGCCCTGGAGCCCTCCCGCAACCCCTCCCTGGCTGGCCAACCTCCCGCATCCCTCCCCAGCACCAGTGGGATCCCTTGGCCTGGCCTACACCCTCTCGCAGTCTGGACCTCTTGGGGGATGTCGGTGAGCCGGTTTCAGCCTGATCCCACAGGCCAGGCTGAGGGGCCCCATTGGTGCACGAATTCCCACACTGGGCCTCTAGTTGTAATTAATGCTGCAATGGACATAGAGATGCATATATCTTTTAGAATTAGTGTTTTATGTTTCTTTGAATAAATACTGAGAATTGGAATTGCTGGGTCCTCGTTTCTTTTATGGCCTTTGATTTAAAGTGTATTTTGTGTGATATAAGTATTGTGATACCAGTTTTTAAAATTTCCATTTGCATGAAATATCATTTTTCATCCCTTTACTTTAGATCTGAAGGAGGTCTCTTGTAAGCAGCATATGTATGGGTCTTGCTGTGTTATCCATTTAGCCATCCTGTGTCTTTTGATTGGTGCATTTAACCCATTTACATTTAAAGTAATTATTGATAGGTTTGTAGTTATTGCCATTTTATTATTCATATGTTCACCTCCACCTCCACCTCTACTTCTACCTCCACCCACACCCACACTCACACCTTCTTTTTCTTGAGTCTTTTTAACATTTCTTGTAATACTGTTGGGTGGTTATTAACTCCTGCTTTTTCTTTTCTGAAAAGCTCATATCTCTCCTATTCTAAGTAATAGCCCTGCTGAGTAGAGTAATCTTGATATACCAGTAGGCCCTTGCTTTTCATCACTTTGAATATTTGGTGCCAGTCCCTTCTACCTTGCAAAGTTTCTACTAAGGAATCAGATGATTATGGGAGCTCTGTTGCAGGTAAGTAGTAGTTCTTATCTTGCTGCATTTCAGATTCTCTCTTTGTCATTAACCTTTGCCATTTTACTTATGATGTATCTTGGTGTGGGCCTCTTGGGTTCATCTTCTTTGGGACTCTGCACTTCCTGGACTTGTGTGTCTGTTTCCTTCACCAGGTTAGAGAAATTTTTCATTCGTACCTCTGTAAATAGGTTTTAATCCCTTATACTTTCTTCTTCTTCTGGTACCACTGTGATCTGAATGTTGTTATGCTTGATGTTGTCCCAGAAGTCTCTTAAGCTATCAGCATTTAAAAAAATTGATATCTTTATTGCTGTTCCAATTTTCAGCTACCTTGTCTTCCAAATTGCTGATTTGATCCTCTGCTTCATGTAATCTACTCTAGACTCACTCGAATGTATTCTTCATTTCAGTTATTGTATTCTTCATTTGATTGATTCTTTTTTTTCCCATCTCCATTTTTATGTTCCCCATCTCTTCTTTTGATTTTCTTTACTGTTCTAGTCAATGAAAGGGTAACTTTATTGAGGCCCCAGGGTTCTGGGATTCAGGCAGAAGACTTCCCTGCAGTCGAGGAGCTGGTGGAGGGGCCTTATTTAACCTTCTTGGGGCACAGGTTGTTTTGGTGGCTGCACTTATTTTTGTGGCAGTTGATAGCGTGAGGATACAACTGAATGTAACACATTTGGTAGATCATCTTGTTGCATTTGTACTTCTGGGCAAGCTGGTGGAAGGAGGGTTCGATGATGCCATCCCACAGATGAAACATCAAGTACAAGGTGGTATTTTTCTAATGTAGTCAGAGTGTGACCATCCTCTAGCTATTTGCCAGCAAAAATCATATGCTGCTGGTTAGGCGGGATGCCCTTCTTTTCTTGGATTTTAGCTTTGACTTTCTCAATGGCATCACTGAGCTCAACCTCAAGGGTGATGGCCTTGCCAGTCAGGGTCTTCACTGTAGGGCGCGGCTATAGGGTTAAGCCTCGGACTGACCTGTTGGCAAAGCCACAAACAAGTCCCAGCTTAGAGGGCACAGTCCTCTTAGCATAATTAGGCTTGACCTTATGACGCTCCCTAGATCCTTCCTAGCTAATGAGCTGTGGGAGGTGCAGCAAGTGCTGCCAAAACAAGTGAAACTCACAAGAACATTGTAACTATGGTGACCACTACCTTGTTTACCTCTGGCTATAAAATAAAGGCTCAGCTTGCCAGGCACAGGAAGATCCACCTAGAATAGAGGTGAGCAAACTTTTTTGAGTTGAGGGCCACAATGGGTTCTTAAACTGGACCGGAGGGCTGGAACAAAAGCATGGATGGAGTGTTTGTGTGAACTAATATAAATTCAAAGTAAACATCATTACATAAAAGGGTACGGTCTTTTTTTTTTAGTTTTATTCATTTCAAACTGGCCGGATCTGGCCCGCGGGCCGTAGTTTGCCCACGGCTGACCTAGACCCAGCTTATTCTCTTTGTCATTTCTTCATCCTTTCACCACCCACACTCAGGCTTTTGAACCCTTGGCTGAACTGGTTCTGCACACTTCACAAAGATCTACATCTCTGCATCTGCTGGGGAGGCTTCTCTGCCACCTCATTGAAGAGAAAGATCCCATCTCTTTATTAATGTTCTGAGTTTATCTATGTTTTTCCTACGTTCTTTGAGCATCCTAATCAAAGTATTTTGAATTGTGCATATGGTAGATTGTTTGCCTCTGTTTTGTTGAGTTCTTTCTCTGGATTTTTTCCCCTGTTTTTTTTCATTTGGGTCATGTTTCTTTGTTTCCTCATTTTAGCTGCTTCTCTCTGTGTATTTCCTTGTATTTGGGTATTTGGTAGATATGTTCCATCTCCTGATCTTGGTAAAGTGGCCTTATGTTGTAGGTGTCCTGTTCGTCTCAGTGGTGCAGTCTTCCATGTCACCTGTGCCAGGTACTCCGGGGGTGTCTCTTGTGTGGATTGTGTGTGCCATTCTGTTGTAGGTGAGACTTGATTGCTATTGGTATGTTAAGGGGAGGTATTGGCTTTCAGGATGATTAGCTGTGTGGAATGGCTGTGAGTACAGCAGACACACTGTTGTACAGGGGTTGATGCCATGGAGCAGGATTTGGATAAAGAAGAGGGGGTACAAATAATACTAGTATTATGGAATATTACTCAGCCATGAGGAAGAATGAAATCTTACTATTTGTGACAACATGGATGGACCTAGATGGTATTATGCAAAATGAAATAAGTTAGAGAAAGTCAAAGACCATGTGATTTTACTTATATGTGGAATCCAGAAAACAAAATAAACAAACAAACTTATAGATACAGAGAACAAACTGGTGCTTGCCAGGTGGGTGTGGGGCTAGGGAGCTGGATGAAAAGGGAAAGAGATTAAGAAGTACAAATTGACCCGGCTGGCGTGGCTCAGTGGTTGAGCATTGACCTAGAAACCAAGAGGTCATGGTTCAATTCCTGGTCGGGGCACGTGCTTGGGCTTTGGACTTGATCTCTAGTGCAGGAGGCAGCCGATCAATGATTCTTTCTCATCATTGATGTTTCTATCTCTTTCTCTCCTTCCCCCTCTGAAACCAATAAAAATATATTTTTTAAAAAGTACAAATTGGCAGTTACAAGATAGTCACAGGGATATAAAGTACAGCATAAGGAATATAGTCAGTAATATTGTAAAAACTATGTACAATGTCAGGGTGTTACTAGACTTATGGGAGGATCACTGCATATGCTATATGAATGTCTAACCACTATGCTCTACACTTGAAACTAACATAATATTGAATGTCAACTATAATTGAAATAAAAAGATTACCTCCAGAGAAATATCTGAGTTTATATTCTCCGGATAGGGTTATTGCTTGGAAAAGACAGGTAATCATGATTTATAAACCAATGTTTGATAGAGCATTCCTATATATCCTTTAGATTGGAAATAAGAAGAGATAAGAATAAAAGAAACCCTCCCCACCCCCATAGCTGTTGTCATGCAGTAGAGGGAACCCCAACATCAGTGGTTGTTCCAAAATAATACACAGCACAGAAGTGTTTCAAATCACTGAAAATATCCTACTGTAAGGTCGTGTGGCTCCAACTTGTTTGCTCTGGTTCAAGCTACTGCTGAACATGCTTCACCTTCTAACACCAATTGCACACAAAGTAATGGATTAAGTGTACTTTAACCCAAAACATTTGGGTCTTACTTATAGGACATAGCTGTGCCCTGGGTACTATTGGGCTCAAGGGCCTACACACACTTACCTAAATGACTGATGAAACTTAATGGACATTACTGGTTTTCTTATTAATATCTGATGTAGGTACTATTGGGATAATCAATCATATCCTGAACTTTTATTTCAATACGGGATTAAAGACTTACATTTAAGACTGGAAATCAGAAAACTCCTAGAAGAAAACATAGGCAGTAAACTCTTTGATATTTGTGTTAGAAATATCTTTTTGGATATGTCTCCTCAAGCAAGGGCAACAAAAGCAAAAATAAACAAATGGGATTACACCAAATTAAAAAGCATTTTCACAGTGAAGGAAACTGTCAACAAAACTAAAAGATGACCTGCTGAATGGGAGAAAATATTTGAAAATGACATATCCAATAAGGGGTTAATATCCAAAATATATAAGGAACTCATACAACTCAATATCAAAAATATAAAAAATCTAATTAAAAAATGGATAGAGGATCTGAGTAGATATTTTTCCAAAGAAAACATGCAGATGGCCAAGAGACACATAAAAAGATGCTCAACACCACTAATTATCAGGGAAATGCAAACCAAAACCACAGTGAGCTATCACCTCACACCTGTCAGGTTGGCTAGTATCAAAAGGACAATAAACAAATGTTGGCAAGGATTTGTAGAAAAGGGAACCTCATGCACGGTTGGTGGGATTACAAACTGGTACAGCCATTATGGAAGCCAATATAGAGGTTCCTTAAAAAATTAAAATAGAACTACCATATGACCCAGCAATTCCTCTTCTGGGTATCTATCAGAAGAAAACTAAAACACTAATTTGGAAAGATATTTGCACACTTATGTTCATTGCAACATCATTTACAATAGCCAAGATATGGAAGCAACCTAAATGTTCATCAATAGATGGATATGCAATGGAATATTACTCAGCCATAAAACAGAATGAAGTGAAATCTTGCCATTGTGACAACATGTATGGACCTAGAAGAGTATTATGCAAAGTAAAATAAGTCATATGGAGAAGGAGAAGTACCAGATAATTTCACTTACATGTGGAATCTATAAGATAAAACAAATAAAAAACAAAACAAACAGATTCATAGACATGAAGAACAAACTGATGGTTGGCAGAGGGGAAGAGGGTAGGGGGGAGGGGGAAAAATGAAGAATAAGAGGAACAAATTTCCAGTTATCAAATAAGTTATGGTAATATAATGCACAGTATAAGAAATATAGTCAGTAATATCACAGTAACCATATATGGTGCCATATAGTTCCTAGACTTATTGTGATGATCTGTTCCTTAGGTATACAAATGTTGAATAACTATGTTATATACCCAAAACTAAAGTAATATTGTATATTAACTATATTTAGATAAAAATTTATGGATATTTATTTAAACATAAGTGTGATTTTAGATATCAAAATTACAACTAAGCCACAGAATAACCATCATTCAGAACCACCTGAAATCTGGCTGAATGGAAGCCCTATAACTAGAGAATTAAAGAAGCCACACTGAGACTGGATTAAAGACTTAGATTTAAGACTGGAAATCAGAAACCAGTAGGAGGGCTGGAGGTGGGGGCCAGCTTTCTCCCAGACAAAAGTGCTGGCAGAGGTCATTGTTCCTCATCAGAGCCCTCCCCCACCACAGAACCAACAAACAGGAGCCATATCTGAGCTTCCACTAACCTGGCCCACACTATTAACCCCACCTCCCTGGTGATACCCTGAGACCCTGCCCCACCAATTTGCAGCTCCACCCAAGCTGTTTGCAGTGGACTGTCCTGGCTTAGGCTTCAGACTTTCCTAAAATCTCTCAAACAAGCAGCAGCTGGCCTCAGCTTCCATACCTCTCGGTAAGTGGCCCCAGACGCTGGAGTAGCAACAGCCTGGCAAGGTTCATAGGTTGGCCTCTCCTAGACACCTCCAAGCCCAACATAAGTAGCAGCCATCTGCAGGTCACTCTGTAGCTCATGCCAGGTGGCCTCAGGCAGGGCACAGGCAGTGGCTGACATTGTACCCCCTGGGAGGCCCAGAACCAGTGCACCTAATGGTCAGCTTCAGACCATGCCAAATTACAACTTGACTACATCCACCAGTGACACACTCAAAGGATGGACTTGGTGAGCACCAAAGCCCCACTGAAGCATGTCTTGCTCCACAGGGGCATCTCCTGCATAGCAGTTCTCCCACTGTAGTTGCAGCTGGTCCTCACAGCTGATTCGCCTGGGAGTCAATTCCTCCCAGTAACACCAACAGCAATCAAAGTTCAACTACAACAAGACAGTGCACACAGCCCACATAGGGGCACAGCCAGAATGCCCAGCTCAGATGACTGGGGAGGCTGAGCCAGTGGGCCGTACAGGACACCTACTACAAGAGGCTACTCTACCAATTCCAAGAGACATAGTAGTTCTACCTAATACATAGAAACAAACACAGGTAAGCAGCCAAAATGCAGAGACAAGGAAACATGTTGCAAATGAAAGAACAGAAGAAATCTCAAGACAATGAACTAAATGAAATAGAAGGAAGCAAACTACCAGATACAGTTTAAAACAGTGGTTACAGGAAGCTCAAGGAACTTAATGAGAACTTCAAGGAACTTAGGGAGTACTTTTAGGGAACTTAGTGAGAACTTCGGGGAACTTAGTAAAAACAATGACATAAAAAAGGACCAGTCAGAAATTAAGGATCCACTAACTGAAATGAATAATTTACAAGGAATCAACAATCCAG